CCAACTTGCATTCACTGCCTAGCATCTGCGACCTGGAATGGGACGCTAGGATTTATGCGATGGACATATGATGCAGAAAGGCCACAGCTATGCAATAAATTTCTGTACTTCAGTAAAGAAACTGCCATTAGTAAATGCATTTTCTGCATCAACCCACAGAGTATTATCTCTGTACTCAGTTAAGTGCCCCACTTTGTATGGATTTGTATATCGTTTTAAAATCACTTCATGACTTTCAGAATAAAATATTCTCAGATAATAAATGCTGCTTTAAACTCAGTTGTTAATGTTATTATTGGTGGTTTAAACAGAAATCCTGTTTGAGCCTGCCCGAATTTCTGCAGGAGGAGGACTGCAGAAATGCACCAATGGATTTTGGTCTGCTTTTGATATTGGAGTGAGACCAGAAAGGAAAATGAACACTCATGTGATCAGTCTGGCTGTGATATTTTGAATCAAACAGCAAAAATGCCCTAAAAGCAATAGACCGTACGCAATGTCGAATTGATTAATACTCCTCTTTGGGTATTTCTGTTATTTTTTGTAAAAAAAGAATGATTAAAAAAATGGTTTCTCAGATTCTGTTTGTTGACTGTGAGCCCTGGCCTGACCTTAGCCTCAAACCCAAATCCCCAGTAGAAGTCTGAAATTAATCTACCTCTGGCTTAGTTATTAGTAATTATAATTATTAACAGAAGCATCCAGGAAATGAATGGCTTTCAATGACATGGTGTTTTAATGTAGAATGCTGGAAAAACAAAAACAGTCCTTTCTTCTTTCTTTACAGTAACTTTTCCCATAGCTCTCTTACAGAGGACATGTTTTCACCGTGGGGAGTGGTCCAAGATTGCTCCCAAACTGTGCCACAGAGGATTTAGTGTCCTCTGAAGGTCCATCCCATGCTGCACAAAAGGAACCTGCTGTTGTGAGCTACCTGGCCCAGCTGCAGCACCGCTGTAGGCACAGCCCAGCTATGCTCTCTGGAGACACCTCTCCAATTCTGCCTGCAAGCTGCTGGACAAGGAAGATTTTTAGTGGTGCTGAATGGAATACCTTCTGCCTATTGTCACAGAACTCGAAAGCTTGGACCATCACCAAAACAGGAAAGAGAAAACCTAAGCAGCAAATCCAACCCAACAAACTGGCCAGATTATAACTGTGTTGGAAAACCCCGTCTTTTATTATAGCTGGATCGCATGCTGCTCAGCACCATGGGAAACCAGAGTACAGAACACAGCAGTAGTAGGAAACGACCCTGCAGGGAGCAGCCTGCAAGCCAAATGGCTGCAGCCCAGAGAGGATAGCATGCAGGGGCAGTGAGGGATTCACTCCTGGAGGTCAGCTAATTGAACTCCAAGTCAGTCTTTGTCTGATGAAGATGAGCTTCTGCAGAAAGACAGAACAGGCGATCCCGAAACTAAAGCCCATCTTGCTGCACACAGAAACAAGACACAAAAGCAGCATGAGCAACTCCATTCTGCCATCCCTCGGTGGCTGAATCTCTTACTTGGTGACATTTGCTCTCCTTTAACACAGCCAGTTGGGTGCCACGTGCATGCTACATCGTCACTGCATGAACAATTGCCACACTGAGTGCTAAAAGAAGCAGCTGAATAAAGAGAAAATAATTCTGGTAGCCTAGATGCTGCCCTCAGGCTACCCCCTACCACCCTCAGTGAGATAATGGGGCTGTGAGTGAGGTCCAGAGAGGGCTGATTTCACAGGGCTCAGGCAGTGCTGGCTTGCTCCTTCTGAAGGGGCTTGGCAGAGTACAAAGCAAGGGAATGAATCAGGGATTTCTCTGTCGGACCACACTCCTTCGTGCAGACTCTGACAATCTCCCTTCTCCCGGACCCTACGCAGAGGTCCAGTGAGCCCCACACCTCCTCCATCCCTCCTCAGTCCACAGAAGAAAAACACTAAGATGTTTCCATTGGCTTTTACATCATCTTTTTGTAGAGATTAATCTTCAGTTTCAACAATACATCTTTTGTGAAGCGCTCCCAGCAGAAACCTTAGACACCTTCCCTAAGATCTGTTTGCTTACAGAAGACGAGGTAGGATTTGTTTAAACCCGGCTAGATTAATGTCTTGCAGACATTAGTGAAGTGAGATTTAATCAGGTTATTGCTCTACATTTTCCAGGGAAATAAATCACACTTATTACTAGGCTGGAATAAGTTGCAAAGCCTGGGCTGAGAAAATTTAGGCTTTTTTGTTTTTCCTAGGGTGTGCAAATGGGTAACTAGAAAAACTGCTTCACTGCCATTGAACTGGGAGCTCAGCAAAAGACCCTCAACAAAGTGTAGGAAGGAAAAGAGAAAGCAAGCCATAATGGCTAGTGCCCTGCCTGTCAGGTCCAGTCCTGACTCTTTTACTGAGATCTAATGCCACAGGCCCTGAATCAATACAGAACGCAGGCAGGAGCGTTAAACAGTGTGAAATGCAGATTCCTGAGATCCAAGTGGGATCCTCTCCTGTAACCGTGGAGATCCTACTCCTGCTCTGGGATATGATTCTGTTAGAACATGTGTGTGTCTCCCTGAATCAGACAGAAACTGTGGAATTAAACAATCTCTGCAAACCTTCTTTACCAGACTTAAATGAAAATCATGATAGTCCGTAGGTTCCAGAGTGTAGACATACCCTGCTGCAACACCTTCTGAGTTTGCAGCACATATTTAACAGTGAACACGCAACTTCATTTTTTCTACTCACCCCAAAAATTTCTCCGAAGCAAGCCTGTCTAGAAAGAAAAAAAGAGCAGCTATTTTTGCAGACTTTTCATTTTAAAGCTGCTCCTTTTCTCATTTCACAAACAAAAAACGTTTGCTCTCAGCTGCACTAGCAGTACTTGCTTCAGTACAAATGCCAATATGATCAAAGCCACACATGAGCAGCTGAGAAAGTTTGGAAATCAAGCTGCAAACATCCCCTCCTCTCCACTAACATCACAGCTACAGGTCCAACATAAGACAGCTGAAGTCAATGGAAACCTTTCTGTTATCTATAGGCACTGCATGCACCAAAGTGGCAAACAACCCCCTCAAACTTTATATCCATTTTCTATTGGACTTGATGATCTTAGAATCGCACAGAATCACAGAATTGTAGGGGTTGGAAGGGACCTCCAGAGATCATCGAGTCCAACCCCCTGCCAAAGCAGGTTCCCTGCACCGGGTCGCACAGGTAGGTGTCCAGGTGGGTCTGGAACATCTCCAGAGAAGGAGACTCCACCACCTCCCTGGGCAGCCTGTTCCAGTGCTCCATCACCTCACTGTAAAGAAGTTCTTACGCACACTTGTGTGGAACTTCCTATGCTGCAGTTTCCGGCCATTTCCCCTCGTCCTGTCTCCACTCACCACTGAAAACAGTCTGGCCTCACCACTATGCCCCCCACACCTTAGATATTTATAGACCTGGATCAGGTCCCCTCTCAGCCTTCTTTTCTCAAGGCTGAACAGACCCAGTTCACTCAGCCTTTCTTCATAGGAGAGATGCTCCAGGTCCTTCACCATCTTCGTGGCCCTCCGCTGGACTCTTTCCAAGAGATCCCTGTCTTTTTTGTACTGGGGAGCCCAGAACTGGACGCAGTACTCCAGATGAGGCCTTACCAGGGCAGAGTAGAGGGGGAGGATCACCTCCCTCGACCTGCTGGTCATGCTCTTTTTAATGCACCCCAGGATGCCATTGGCCTTTTTGGCCACGAGGGCACACTGCTGGCTCATGGCCAACCTGTCGTCCACCAGGACACCCAGGTCCCTCTGCTCAGAGCTCCTCTCCAGCAGCTCATCTCTCAACCTGTACTGGTGCATGCAAATGCAAATCATACAAATCTTAGAGGCCTTGTCCAACCTTAATAGTTCTGTGAGTCTACAGGAAGTTGTAGAGAGATGGGGGTTGGTCTCTTCTCCCATGTAACAGCAATAGGATGAGAGATAATGGCCTTACGTCGTGTGTTGGGAAAAATTTATTCTCAGAAAGAATGGGGAGGCATTGGCACAGGCTGCCCAGGGAGGTGGTGGAATCACCATCCACGGGGGTTTTCAAGAACTGTGGAGATGTGGCACTGAGGGATGTGATTTGTGGGTATGGTGGGGATGGGCTGGGGCTGGACTAGATGATCTTAAATGTCTTTTCAACCTTAATGATTCCATGATTCTGAGATTATTACTGGGCTGTGCTAATACAGGTGAGACCAAATTACAGAAACACTGCCTGCAATCAGGTTTCAAATCATGCCACAGAGCTGCACAAAACACAATGGAAACAAGTCAACGTATTACTGAAGAACACAACCAAATATATCCTGCTTATTATACAGGAGAAAAGGAAACATTATGCAAGGCAGCACAGTTGCTTGTAAATACTCTCTTGCCAATGCTTTCCCTGGATAAATTAGTTCTCTGAACTGTGACAATATCACCATGAATCAGCTTGTCTATTCCAAGGTAAAGGCTACGATTCTGCTTTGTGTTCAATGGAAACTCTTTTCCCAGCCTTTTTCTTAGCTTCCTGCTTAGAAAGAATAGGCTCTCCAGAGACGATTTTGGATATGGATCACAATCTTGCTCCCTTCAGATAACTAAAGGGAGGGCAGGAATACATTTAAAGTGGGCAGGAGTACATTTAAAGAAGCAGCTGGTAATTATTAGCTGAGTACTTACTGGCAGGATTTCCCCCTGCTGCTGTGCCAACTAAATGAGTCCTTGGTGATAATTATCAGGTAAAACTCACAAGCAAGGGGAGGTTCCCTCATTAGAAACATCAGCAAGAAACAATGCAAAAGTGGGCGGGGGTGACTGAAAAATGTGTTTGAGGGCTGCTTGACTTCTCTGTCCTCCACACACCCAAGTGGTTATACGTAATTGCTGGGCATTTTCTGAGGTACTCCTTGAAAGCTACAAAATCTGTTCCGCGCTTACAGTAGCATTTAAGTGAATGACCTTCATCTTTCTTCTAGCCAACCAAGAAGAACTGGAAAAGCATGCAGCACTTACTCTTTTGGAGGGTTGAGGTCTTCTGGACGAGCCTCAAAGAATCTGAAGACTTCATCACACTGTGAAATGTGAGGGGGAAGTCGAACCAGCGCCTGCAGAGGGAATGAAAAGGTTGGGAGAAGCACTTAGAAAAGACAACTTAAAAACATGGCCTCAAGTATTTAAACTACCAAGCAAGAAGTAGCAAAACAATCTTGGCAGGGGGAAGGAAACAGAAAAGGAAAGCATCAGGTCCAGCTACTTACCTGAGAAGAAAGGGAATTGCACAACTTGACTGCAAATGTCAAGTAGGAAGTGATGAATTCAGATAAGGGATGGTACCTAGAATTGGCCAGTGTCACCTTCTGCTACGTGTCCAATAGCAGGATTCAGACCACGTGAGCAAAAGCATTACAATGAAATGATTAAGTACTCTGTGGCAGGGACTTTGTGACAGGTTTGAACAGCACCTCAAGGCAATGTGGCTAGGGTTTAGAAGCTCTTAAGTCAATGCATACAAATGCAAGCAATGAAAATCTGCAGACTCAACACCTACTCATACAATGAATTAATGTTCCCCATAAAGCTTTCTGTTTAGCACTGTCAACATTTTTTCTGTTTTAGCAGAAAACAAACAAAAGCACACAATTTGTTCCTAAATTAATAGGAAAGAAATTTGATTAATTGCCTGCAAAAAAAAAGAAAGAAAGAAAGAAAGAAAGAAAGAAAACAAAAGGCCTGGAGGCTATTTGTGCACAAAGGCAGCTTCACTGCAGTGTGTCCTGGCTAACAATGTCCATGCACTTTGCAAGATACAGATATGCAGCACTTGTCACACTCAGCAATTGTGAGTATAATTTGGGAAGAACCACTCTAACGTGGAAGTGGATTGGAAACTCGTGAGACAAGTACACAAGGCAGAATCATGCTGCGAATTTGCTGCCCAAGCTATAGATCCTGACGGTGCCCAAGGAAGCCACGCATCCATCCGCAGCCTGCAAACAGCAGCTTCATGTGTCATAATTCTGAGATTTACTGCAGAAGTGACCATTAGGAGAGGAAAAGAAGCTGGAGTTAACCTTCCCCTCTGCTAAGTTATGGTGAAAATAGGCCATGGGTTAAATATAGACCAAACTTCTTAGAAGTGCTGTAAACCCATTTGACAAAATGAGATTGCCTGGCTCATCTGCTAGTTGGAAGTAGGACAAACAATCTTGAGAGATGGATGAAAAACTACAGCAGAGCAAAATGAAGGTGCATTAGGGCAAACTGGTTGTGCTAACCCATGAAACATCTGCTTTATCTTGTTCAGACAGCCAAGGAGGCCCAGCCAAAGCATGAAGGCAGGACAGGCAGTCTGCTAATGCGTCTGCTTCTAGGCAAACTTCAGAAGAGAACAAATTTGTTTCCTAGACTACTCCTGCTTGGGGACATCAAGGAAAATAGTCCCCCCAAATAAAAACCCTAATCTGAACCAGCAGTTTCCAGTATTAGGCAACCTGATCCTGTTTGAGGTGGCCTGAAGCTACAAGATGACTGCTTCCAGGCCTAAAGCTTACATTTCCCTGCTTGAGGGATACCATACAAATGCAGGGAAAATTCATGTGATATTGACAAACCTATGAAGAAGAAGCTGACTTGGCCACAATGGCCTGTTCAGTGTTCAGCAGTCATTGAGAAGGCTTGGAGGAGATAAGAGGAAAGGCTACTTGTAACTGTTCTACAGAGCAGAAGAAAACACCCTGTTTTGAGGAAGCAGCATCAGTGGCAGAAGCCTGGCAGTAGCTGGGCATGGCTACACAGCACTGCTGGATCCTGCAGCTAATGCAGGATCAAGTGTAAGAGATGGAAAACTGAATTCCTCTACTTTGAATGAAAGACACCTCAGCTTCCATTGCTATCCAAGTCAATGCTGCTGTTTTGCTCAACAGTGTAAGAAAGCTCTCTGCCTTTATTCCTGGTGCATATAAGCAGAAATAATACCAGGAAACCAGCAAATGCCCAGGGAACAGTAAAGATTATGGCATGCTGAAAGAGAAACACTGCACCACCTCAGACACCACAGCATGTTTTATTCAGCTGAATCCCAACCAGGAGATAGACTTATGCAGAGCAGCACTGTTGTCTGAAGACCAGTATAGGGAGCCAAGATCCATTGCTGGCTCCGTTACTAACGCCCTTCTTGGTTTGGGCAGGTTACTTAACCTCATTCCATGAAATTCAGCAGGGATACATCTTCTGTTATCCATTTAAAATGCTGAGCAATAACACTTACCTAATCTGCTGAAAGGTTACAAGGCTCAGATATTTAATATCTACAGTGTGTTTTGAAATCTCTAAGGGCTTGATCTTGTGCAGTCAATGGGCCAACAGCAAATGATACATATCATTACTAGAGAAACATAAATACCCAAGTTAAATGTATCACAGGGGGTCCTGGACATCAGACACCTTCTCAAAGAAACATCACTTCCCTACATGTTGCAGGTATTTGCCCTTCTTAAAAAGCGGGCTACAGATGTCAGTACTGGATCAGAGCACAGAGTGGGTTTTCAGTGATGTAGAAACACACCAGCAAGCGGCTGTGTTGTTTTATGTTTCTACATCAGTGGAAACTTTAAGAAATCTGACCCCTCTGACCTGGTGGTCCCATTTGGAAATCTCCAGAAGCATTAAGGTGAGCATCGTGGTCATGCTGAGCTGCAGGAGGACAACTGGTTTCAAACTAAAAGAGGAGATATTTAGATTGGATATAAGGAAGAAGTTTTTACAATAAGAGTGAGGAGGCACTGGCACAGACTGCCCAGAGAGATGGGGGGGTGCCCCGTTCCTGAAGACACCCAAGGTCAGGCTGAATGGGGCTGTGAGCACCTGATGGAGCTGTAGGTATCCCTGTTCAGTGTAGGGGCGTTGGACCAGATGGCCTTTAAGAGTTCCCTCCAACTCAGATGAATTGATGATTCTATCATTCTAACTGAAAAGGTCCTCCTTAGCTTTTCTCCTTCCCAGGCAGAGAGCAGTGAACAAGAACCAAAGAGCTGAAGCTGTTCCACACACAGCCACCAGCTCACGAACCCTGGGGACACAGTGGCCCTGGGGCAGAGCTGGCTCTCATGCTGCAGAATCACTTCCAAGAGCGCTGCCATTTTCAGCCCAGTGAAATGAAAACCACCTGATAATAATCGGCCATCGCATGTTTTTGGGGAGCTCAGGTGTAAGTCTGCAGCCAGTCATTGAGGACATATGCAACATCTCTGCTCCTCTGCAAGGGGGAAATACACATTTGGGCAGATACATGTTCCAGCCAAATGGCTCCAGGCAGAGCTACAGCAGGCTGAAGGCAGGACTGTGAGGTCAAGGAGAGAAGAGGAAAACAGATGGTGAAAGGATGGAAAGGATAGGGATGTGACATTCTTCCTGGTAAGCAGAAAACAGAGGTAAATACATGCAGTTACAAACAGCACACATCCAGAAACAGCAAGGAACTTGCACAGGAAAGGTGAGAGATAAAAAGTGCCAGTGAGCAGAATTCATCCTTACACCACTGCTGAATGTTATCAGTGAGATTCCTTCTTTGGAAGGCGAAGGCAGATGTGCGCTGCTTAGACCTCACACACTCCTCAGAAGATATGCTTTTATGTGCTATTTCGGCCTGTAATGATGTCTGTCTCTCTATATTACAGGCTTCAGACAGTCTCATGGAGATGCAGGTGATTGGAAAAGCTATTAGAAAAGCTGTCACGTCAGGCAGGGCGTTAGCAATCAGCCCCCGGCATCCAGCACGACCGGCTGTCTGCCTCACACAGCACCCACAGCAAAGCACAGCACGGGGTGCAGGCTTGTGCTGTAGGTCACATGGACTGCAAACAGCTCGGTGGGAATTTATGACATTAAAATGCATGCACACAGATAAAGAAACACGCAGTATTTAAGCGTGCCTTGAGTGCTGCGTGTTGCATTTAACGCAGATACATTTATAAAAACCAGATGCACTGACATGCATTTATGGAGACATGCAGGAGGTGTGGGGATATGCATACAAGGATATTCACCCCGCTGAACCTTTTGTGTCTAAAACTGGAGACTGGTTGCACTTGCTTAACCACTTGTACAACCATTGGAGGAGGGCCAGCCCTCGTGGAGGGAATCTATCTGCCGCAGTGGGGACACCCAGCTCTGGTGGTGAATCATGCACAGGGTTCAGGCACCCAGTTTCCCTGTGCTCAGTGGGGTTAATCCCAGCTCCGCACACAGAGACAGCTGACTACTGCATGATTACGGCTCCCTGACTTTTCATATTAAGTATCCTGTTCTCAACTGCTTATCATCCTAATTAACAATAATTGGTTGTGGCAGATGTTTAGGAATGGTCATGAGTTCACCAAGAGGGAAAGTGCAATTACCCTAGTTCTCTTCTCAGAACAGAAAAATAATTTTACTTATCTGAAAATGCTTTTTGCATCTGTTTTGTTGAGAGCCTCACATTTCCTCCAAGCTTAAACCCCCCAAAAAATGAATTGTGGAGGCCAGATGGCAAACACTGACAGTCACATCTATAGGTGTCCCTGTTCACTGGAAAGGAGTTGGACAGTTGGATTAGATGACCCATAAAGGTCCCTTCCAACTCAAATGACTCTGTGATTCTATTCAACCACGCTAGAGACTTGGGTGAAGAGTGCATGGCAGTGACTCAGACTGGAGAAGTGGGGAGATGTGAGAATAAATAAAGCACTGAGGTGAGGTGGAAAAAGGGTGCAATTTTAGAAATGATTCACACATACAAGGGGCTCTGACATGAAAGGGCCATAAGAAGCTGGGAAGTAAAGTTCTACACCAGGTACCTAAAGAGACATTGCAAATAATTAACTCTCACTACTGCAGCTGGTCTAAACACGTCAGGATTCTGAAAGGTAGGATAAAAATGACTGATGAAGTTCAAAAGTTTTCCACTTAAACACTCCATTCTTGACCAGGACCAATGCCTATTTCATTTTAACTCAGCCCTAGCTTAGAGGAAGGTAAAATCTTGAAAGAGTGCCTGGACTGAGAGACCAAGAGGGAGGCAATTATGTTTTTTTCCCTTTTTGAAGAGTAAACCTGTAAACTGTCATAAAAGAATGACTAATATTTCCTGGAGTTGATGCAATCTGCTCATTTAATTTTTGTTTAGGGGATGTGCATTTGGGCACTTTGGAAAAGCCCATAAGCTTCAAGATCCTCCAGCTGGAACAGCATAGAAGTGTGACAAACAGAAGTATTTATGACAAAGGGACTCGTCTCTTCAAAGCTTTCCAGCATAGAGATGCTTCCCTCAGTCAGCACTGACACAAAGATGCCAGCCTGCAATGCTGCCCTGGGTCTTTCCAGAGGGCTGAGGAAGGAGACCGTGGTGGTTTGGTCTTTCTTCCATACAAGGTGATGCACAGTGGACAGGCACACCCAGGAGGTGTATTTGGGAGATCAGAAGCTTATTAAATAAAACGCCTCTAGCAAGACAAGGCTGTGAAGTTGGTATTGCTTTCATATCATCAAAAACTCCAAAAAAAATTAAGAAAACCAGGCCCATGGGGCCCAGAAGACATTGAATTGCACCAGGCTAACTCCAAACCTAGAGTTAGTAGAGTTAGGAGGGAAATGATCCAGAGATATCAATTCCAGTGGGCAGCACATGTTTACAGGCAAAACTGAGCTTGTTTGCTAACTCGCTCAGATTACATCCTCTCTCAGACATCCAGACCCTCACTTTCACATGTTTACAGAGAAATGCCCTGGAAATCTTTCTCTGTATGTCCCACTCCACTTTTCATCACAACGTTAAAGCTTCCTGAGGCCTTACCAAAAACACTGGCCTGGGTATCTCTATGGTACCATGCCCTCAGCTGGCACACAGCAGCAAAGAACCCAAGAGGCCTGCAGGGCCACAAGGCCCATGCTGTTGGTCAATACTTTCTGCAGGGCTCCCCATATTGCTAGCGTCCCACAAAGTGTGGGACAGCTTTTGCCTGCCTGTCCTTGGTCCCATGCCTGTAGCAGGAGCCACAAAACATCAAACCAGAAGTCAGATGTGCTTCTCAGCCATGCAAATTGCTGTGCTCTGTCAGAGACAACAAAACAACAAATGGTCGAACATTTGCCCCATGCGTTTCCCATGGCTCATTTGTGCTTCATCTTTCCAGGTGAAATGGATAGAGTCCTCATCTCGCAAAAAAATTACCACAAACTTTGCATCTGAAGCTGCCTGACTCCTCTATATCCTCATAGATTCCAGTGGACAAAGCCCTGTTGTCTCATGTATTCATTTCACTCTCTCACATCAGATTTTCTCCATCAACTACACCCACATCATTCCTTTTTTTTTTTTTTTTTTTTTTTCTTAATTAAGCTTGTTGTCTGCCTACTCATTTTAGGACCAGCATGGGACAACTCTGCCCACGATAGCTGGTTGGAGCTTGATGATCTCTTCCAACCCAAGTCATTCTGTGACTCTGACATAAGCTTTGTGCTCCTCTTTCAGGCGAGCAGGATTAACCTCTCAAAGCAATCCTCCTCCTCTACAGCACTGTGCAATTCTTAATGAGTCAAAACATTCACTGGACAGGCAAAGAAAGGTAGGAAAAAAAAGGAAATCATGCTGAAGAGGGGGATGTGACCCTATTCACAGGTCCCACTAAGACCCATGTGCACCAGCTTTGTGATGCCGTGCTCCTTGGAGGTGAGTGGCAGGGCAGCGCCGGGCTGGGGCTGTCTGGGCACAGACAATGGGGTCCCAGATAAGCAGTTTCCAGCCTGGGGCAGGGGCTCCCTACCAAGTAAATCACTGCTTTCTCTGCCATGCATCTGCTGGGTGAACCCTGACATTCGTCCTGGCTGCGTCGCGGGCAGTTCCTGTCTGAAGGAGGGAGGCTGGCGACGCGGTGGGACCATTTTGAAGCAGCCACTTGGCTGTCAGCAGGAAGACAGCATGTTAATTGTTGTGTAGAAAGCCTGATCTCATGTGATAAGACTTCGCTTACAGCTTCCTTGCCCGGGTGAGGCAGAAGGCAGGGGTTTGCTGGGGCCATGTCATCACTGCCTGCAGTGTGCCCCAGGCTCTGCAGGGATCTCCTCACCATTGTGGATGAGCAAATGTCTGACTGGGAACAGAGGTTTTCCCCTCCACGTGGTCTTCTGACTTTTTAAAAATGGAAAGAAAACCTCATGGGAATGAAAAGAGGAAGTCTGGGGTTTAAATTATATGCTGACATGCTCAATACCTCTCCAAAAATCGAGTATCAGTCCTGCACAGAAATAAATTTTAATCTGCTGTCAGAGGATCAATTATGATTGAATCACGAAGTCTAAGCTGGAAAGGATAGACCAGGTCACTTAACCCTCTTTTCCACACAGCAGACTTTTCTGTCCTGTCATAAATTTCCAGGCTTTCACTTCTTACAAGAAAACACCTCTGCAATCCGCCGGTCCATCTCTAGTGCTGCGCAAACCTGAAATTTCCCTCCTGCAGCACAGATAGGCAGGGGAAGAAGAAAATGCCATCTTTGTTATGGCTCTTTCCGTACTGAACTCTTGCATTCATCAAGGTTGAAGTAGAAATATAATCCGCTTTTATATGAAGATACTGTGCTTATGGATTTTTCTGATTAAATAAGGAACCAACATGGTGCTTCAGATGGGCAGCACAGCTGCTTCATTAATCTTGGTGGTGTTTGGGACAGACCATATTTGCTTAAAGAAGACACCTCCCCCTCCTGTGATGGGCTCAATACAGATGAAACTCTTGGTAGTGAACGTGGAGAAAGGTGTGGTGCAGCTGATGGCTGTGAGACACCTGGAAGCTCTTCTACACCCTCCCCTGGAGCTCCTTACCCTGCAGTACTCATCAATGGGCTTCAGCCTCTTCACAGCTACATCTCGGACATGGCTCCTCCGGAACAGGATCTTACCTGAGGAGGAAACAGAGAATGGGGGGTGTTAGGAACATCACCTCCACTTCGGACAGCAAACAGTTGTATATTTTTACATTATTTTGCAAATAATGTAAACAAAATTTGGTTACTGTTCAGTGCTGGTGTTATGCTGGAGCACATTGATATTAAGTTATGAGTCACTTCCACCACGGTGCTGCTCTGGCATGTTGGGACCAGTGCTCCATCACAACCCCATTGCTGCCCACCCAGTCTCCTCCCATGGCATTGCTCTCAGCCTTGCACACAGAGCAGCAGGGCACAAGGAACGAGGTTTGGGTGATAGATACCTTATAAACCTACAGAGGGAAACCAAATAATAAGAACAAACAACTCTTTTTTTTGTTCTTTAAAGTGAAAAAATAATAACCTCAGCATCCTTAATGGATGACATCTCTGCAAGTCAGCTAAGATTAAACAAATAGCTGGGTTTTGTGTTATACTACTTGTAACACAGTTTATCAAAATAATCGAGGAGCTGAGTTTCCCCACATACAAGGATGTCATGGAGTTGGTATTTTTTTGGCTCTAAGGGATTTTATCTTCATATCCTTTTTTGGTGGTTTTCTTCCCTTTTTCTTTTGTGCTACATTTCTTCTAATGTATTGAGACAAGAATAAATTATATGTTATCCTTGTGGTGCAGAAACAGTATCTGCCAGCATTATTTAATCCATGAAATGTCTATGTAAAAAAAACCGCAGGCATATATACCACCTCCTGATCCAAACTTCTTCTGCCAGCAGGCAAGTGAGATACTAATCCATAGATGGTGGGATATGGAAACGAGCTACGAGATGAAATCAGATCCCAAATCTGAATATGTGGTTTTGATTTTGTCATGGTTACAGAAGTTGAGAGGTAAATGACACCACTGCCTTTAACAGCCCAGTAACAGAGGCTCTGCACCCTCCCAGGCTCTGCCACTTCTGTTTGCCTTTCCTCGTTGTCCCGGCTGCTACTCTGTAAACTGTTAAAGCCTTTTGTCCCAGACAGGACAAAGTGCCTTATCAGAGTTGATTTCAGGATCAAACCCATCAGTCAGTTCGTCCTCTGAAGTCATCATTTCAGAGTGCCACCAATCTCTCTGGTTCCATGTGGTTATCTCACCACAAGGCTGGCGCTGAGCCATCCCTGTAGGATGTGATGCCTGGAGGTAACAGCACAGCACACGGGAAACCTTCAATACACATCCAAGGCACTCATCCACGCTTACATGATTTAAGCAATGGTAGCTACATGTTTACCTCCCTGCACTGCCTGATGCTGGATACACCAAAACCTTGCTGCTTTCTTGCTTCTATCCCGAATAAATGGGGATACTACTGGATCTAATGGATCCCTACTTACAAAATATTTCTTAGTTTCTCCAGGATCACAGTGTACTTGCAGTGCATAACTGCAGTAAGGCTCTTTTCCTGGAAGGGGGCATGGGGTAGAGAACAGACTGCTTCCCTCCTCCAGAAATGGTGCTGTGGGAGATTTTTGCATTTCTTCGCAACTTTTATAAATACACTGCAAAGAATAAGGGACATTTTGGAAACATTTGCACTTTTTGGCTTTTCTGTTTTCAGTTCAAGCCATGAGTCAAAAGTAGAACTGGTGACTGTTTGAAAACATAAGGGAACCCAAGACTTAAACACATTGAAGATCTACTGCAAATGTGACTCAATTTTCCTAAAAAGTTTACAGGGAGGCCCAGTCTTCAAAGTAACATAATAAATGAAAGTCTCAGACATAAGAAACAAGATAAATATAATAAAGAACGTTATATTAAACACAGAGTACAAAAAAGACCCCAGGATATGATAAGTCTTCATTCAGTCCTTAAATGGATATGGAAAATATCAGAATGACTGTGGTGTTCAGATGAAGCAAAGCCCAGGAGGTGCTTCCATTTTTATCCCTCAGAAAAAGGGAATTTTCACTCTTCTACTAAAAGCTAGAAAAGGCTATGCAGGGGCTGTGGGGCAGATCTGTGGCTGCCCAATCCACAGCATTGAGAACTGAGATCTGGAGAGGGCCAAATAACTCAGATCAGCATTGCCAAGAAAAAAAACCAAGAAGGAAACCAGGATGGTCAGAAAGCACATCTTGTTCCGATGGGCAGCGAGGATGGACCCTGACCAGGCACATATGAAGATGCTTGGGCACAGAAGCCTCCTTGCTGGGGTACGGGCACATTGCTAAGGAGGGAAGGCTTCCCAAATGCGCAGCTTCTCCCCTTCTCTGGGAAGAAAGGCTACACCAGCAGAAGCTTGGCTGAATCCATCGTGACCACACAGCAGGAAACACCACAGACCATGTATGAACTCCTACTGTTCCCTCAAGTTCTCCCATTTCTTCAGGGCTGTATGCTCCTCTACGTTTTCCCAGTGGCTGCAGCTGGATGCAGACCCCTGGCAGGGGAAAGCACTGAGTAACAAGGTAGCTAGGATCACCCTGGCAGTGAGATAAAGCAACATGCAGCAGGCAGAGAGCAGAGTACGGCTTGTAAGAGCCCACAGAAAGGAAATCTTGGGGAGGCAGCGGATGGGAGCACGTTGAGCAGCACTGAAGTGAAGCGGGAAGTCCTGTGGTGGCTCTAAATGGGTAATTTCCTTGCAAGGGCGGTGTGCTGCTTTGCGTGCTGCTTGGCTTTTCCTCTGGGTAGTTTCCACATCTCTGAGGAAGGGGCCTGCTTATACACTAGTACATCCCAGAGCTGCTTCCTCCCTCAATGACAAAATGAATTTTACTTCACCTCTTCTAACACTCCTCAGGCACCACAGCCCTACCTCAGGCTCCATTTGGAAGCTATGGGCTGTAAGACAGCACTACCTCATACACTACTTTCATTTACCTACACACACGGCTCAGACCAGGCCAAGGATGAAGAGAATGTGTGTAGGAAGGACACAGCAGACAGCAGCACTGGGAAAGAGAGACGTGAGGAAGAAATAGGGCTCCAGTCCTGCTGCTAGTGCAGGATGACAGTATTTATTTTTATCCTTTTTTCTTTAAAGAAAATATTATTCCTAGGAAATTAATGTGGATAAGAGGCAAAGTATCAGGTTTAACTTTGTAGGGGACATCTTAAGTCATCCCTTCATCTGTGTATATAGAGATGTAGCCTTTAATTCCATGACCACACACCTCTTCTCCCATAGGACCCAGTTTCCTCCCCTGCACACAGCGGGTACACAAAGTGGGAAGAAGAAAGCTGTCTCAGAGACCGCCAATCTGGCAGCTGCTGATTCTGCAAGCTTGAAGGTATCCTCTGAACACTGCCAGCCTCTCTGTCAGAGGTTAGGGAGTGTCCAAACACAATGTAAAGGGGCCAATGGATAAATGCACGTTCACATCTAATCTTCCACCTCGAGCAGTCACTGCACTTCAGAGGGCTCTAAGAGAAGCAAACCATATGATAAATAGTCAACAATGGACAGCCTGAATACAAATAGGTATGTTAAAAACACTATAATGTCTCATCTGATTTATGTTTATAAAGACATCTGCTGCCTCCAACTATAGAAACTACAGCTGTGGAGACTCCATCAGTCAGCTGTCTCCTAAAAGCAGGAATGGGCTCTTGTTTCTGCCTCTTGATGTTTCTGTTACTGTGCTGCTGGTTCTCTCCTCTTTTCACCCAAGAACTGGAGAGGTACAAGGTCTTCATGCAAACTGCCAAGCAATGTATTCAACTTCAGATTGAATTCCTAGAGAGTCTGCTTACAAGGTGCAGTTACAGCTTCTCCTTTTGGGCTAAGCAGCCTTCCCCAGTGTAACTAACACCATTTAGTGGCTAAAGTATTTTTATGAAGGCTTCTACTATTTACGCATAGCTGTTCTTACTTTTATACACTGAAGAAGCGTAAATGTGCAATCAGATATGACTCTTCAACCTGTTTACGCTGTGAAATCCACGCCAGAGCCCCACAAAGCTCTCAAGCACCTGTCATGCAACGTAACTCCCAAATGGTGCATTTAAATATGCACTGCCACCTTGCAATGTAAAACATAATTCAACTACACAAAACTATGGGGTAGAAGAACAACTTAATGTTTCTCATGGACGTACGTGTGACTGTCAACCAGATGGCAATCTGACAATGGCCAAAATAGAGGTGTGTTCCTCATAAAATAATGTCTCGCTTTCACACGGGGATCCCAGTTTCCATGGATTGTTTCATCCATGATTTCCTGGAGTCAGGGAGCCAGTGCCAGGGTCCTAACGCTGATGCCATTTGCTCCTGACAAAGAAAGGGGAGGGAAATGATTCATGCTGTTTCCACTGGTGGGAGGGGGAAGGACTTAAGTAGAAACTCGTGACTGTCAGAATTGCTGGCTGAATGTGGCTGCCAAAGGGCCTCAGTTGATAAAGGCCTTGCTAATCAGCAGAAATTACTATGAAAGGTGACAAGAGGTGATGGAGACAGATGGGGCTGCCAGGAGAGCCAACACAAGCAATAATAACATGGCGCTGAGATATGGGGGGAACAGAGGGTGTCCTTCTGTACTTGGATCCTGCTTCTAATGTGCAAAAGATGCAATGTTAAAGAAAACCACTGAAAAGAAATAGAGCATGGGAAATAACATGACTTGACTATAATATCACTAGGAAGAGAAATATTCCTCCGTTAGAATTGATAGCAAAATACATTAATTATTACAAGGTGAAACCAGAGACAGGCAAGAGACAAGGTTGATTGCCCATCAGCAAAGCGCTCCTACCTCTGAACCTGGCTGCCCTCCACTGACTGTAAAGTTGGCTACTTATCCTCCTAGGCTAACAGTGCCAGCTCTAGAGCAGCTTAGCCATTACAGACTATGGGAATTCAAGCACTTGGCACAGCTGGAAGAAGGATAAAAGCCATGAACACTGATGCTGAAATTCAGAAGTGGCAGATGGGGGCCACAGGGTGCAAATCTCAAGCTAACAGCTTTGTTAGTGTTTGTACAGTGCTCTGCATAAGCCAAGAGCTACTTCTTGCCACTCCG